CGCCAATTCCAGGAGAGATGCATTGCCATCGGCAGCTAAAGTGTGTAACACCGTTCGTCCGTAAGAGTCCGTTTGATTGATATCTCCGCTTTCACCGAGAAGCTCTGTTAATGGCTCACTCGGAGATTCGTCAATGGGGCTCACATCTTGCGAAACCTTTGCGTAGGAAACGCGAAAAATGAAATTTTCTCTCGCCACAATGTTCGACAAGAAAATTTCTATTACGAATATTCTCCAATCGTATGCCAAATGCCTTAATGACACTAGAGAATCTCTAATATGGGCCGCACTGTTCTCTCTTATCGTGAAAAAAAGCATACTGACCCCGAAAAACTAGATTAGATATTATTACGTTTTATCATAGTTTCCTGAGACCGCTTTGTTTCTATTAAAACTAGAGATTAGATATTACTACTATGTTTATCAGAGTTTCCGGGGAGACTTGTAAAAATAAACTCGTGCGTGCGTAATAAACTTCAACCGCTTATTTGCTTGAATAAAATACTAAACGTGGGCTAGATATCCCGAGTGTTCATTTATTTCGCTGATTAGCAATCGCGTGCTCTTCCCTTCTCTTCCTTTCATTTGCGGATTCTTTTAGTAGAGGAAAGTGTTACCTGACTAGAAGAAATAGCATCTTTGCTAGCATCGTCGTCGACCGTTTTCTCAGACGGCCTAGCGCCGGCGTCGATCAGCAGTCTCAGCAGCTTAACATCCTGCCTGGGCCAAAGAATACACTCGGAGCTGTCCAGATAACAGGCCTCGATGGGTGCGTTACTGCCGATCATCCAGAGCACTTGAAGAGTGTGGACGTCCAACGTGGTGCTAACCGGAATGCTCGTTATCGCGCGTTGCAGGTGTTGCGCCAGCACGCAGATCTCGTCGGGATTGAGCTCGGGGCCGCGCAGAGTGTAGTAGGCCGCCAGCATGGCGTGGCCCTCGGTGGCCGAACAAAGATATTTCTGGGTGCAGTGCTTCACGTCCAGGAGCCACTCGGCGAAGCTGTGGTGAAAGAGCATCAATGCGCCGGCACGCGAGACCGATATCACTCGGCGCAGCAAATGGAGCCGGCGATTAAAGTCCTCGACGGTGATGCCGACGCAGGCCGTCTTCACGCTCTCGTACAGGATCTCCTGAGTGATGGGCAATTTGGCGGCGAGTATAACGTTGAGTAGAGGCTGCACCTTGCTGAATTGCTTCCTGCTGAAGAGTCGCTGGCAGAGCCAGAGGTATAGGCCGTTCAGCGTTCCCGGTATCTCCCGCACCTCGCGCAGAACAATGAAGTTCTCCGCCACGCCGTCGAGAACTTTCTCCAGGTACAGAAAGCAGCCGTTGCTCTTTATGTGCAGCTGGTTCAGCATCTCGGCGGTGTCGCGCGAGATGTGCTGCCTGTGAAAGTAGTTTATAGAAGCGTTATTAATCGAGACGATCGCTCACGAGCGTGACAAGCGCGAATCGAGCGAAGCGTCAATTTTCTATGTCTCCGTTATTAATAAACTGGCGCAAACTTTTCCGCGCTATTCAAGTATCTACGTTCAATATATTCATGATGCATCTTCTCTCGGTAAAAGAATCGTGATTCCCGTCAATTAATTGTTCTCTCGAAAATAGATTCGTTCGAGCGGATAAAACAAATGGATGAAGATTATAAATTATTGAGTCGGTTAGAACAAAAAGGGGAACAAAGTCACATATTTGAGAAAAACGACAAATGTTTTATAATATAAATTTCAATAGGATTGATGCTACTTTGTCCTAAAGAGGGCAACCCCTTAAAGTAACTTTTCATTAACAACTTTTTTTAAACATTTTTGTGCTGGAGCGAAGGATCCATTGTTACGCGGAAAGAAAAATGTAGCTACCGTAGCTAAAAACTGCAGGTGGCAACTAAATTTCAGTTGTAAAATATGGATGGCTGATATTTAGTTGCGACAGCTGAATATTTCACTACTGTGCCTATTAGCATTAGGTGCGACAGCAACCAGTTTGCTGTGGCTTAGAAATTTATAGTTATAGCAGCAAAGTATTCTTAGCAAATCATGATTAGCTACGGTAGCGAAAATTTTGTTTCAGCGTAACTCAATTTTGGCCAAAATGTCACGAGTCCCCTTTCTGTTCACACTTATCTGGTCGATGAAGCTAGGTGTTCCAGACGCACGTGACAATTTGGGACAATCCTGTCGTTACCTGAGCGCGTCTTCCTGATCGAGCCGCGCGAGGATGTACTGCTGAACGTCCCTGACGACCTGGGACTTTCTCAGGTCGTCCAGCGAGATCTTGCGAAAGCCGGTGAACATGCGCGAGATGGTCTTACTCTGCCGTCGTGCGGTGCAGACCAACAAGAGCCACTGCGGGAACAGGTGATGGTGATTAGCCAGCAATTCAGCTATCGTACGACTGACGTTGTCGTTCTCCCTCCGGGAGTCCCTGGTGCCGGTCTGCGGTGGATTCAACGTCTGGCCCTCGTCGATGGAGTCCACCAGCAGGAAGAGGCAGTTCTTCGGCGGCTCGACCTCCAACAGCGGGAACAGCAGGGCTTTCTTCAGGGCGTCGTCCGGATCGCGGTCCAGGACGTCCGGCTGCAGCGCGGCCTGTATGTCCGGGTCGGTCCGCAGCTTCTCGGCGTAGGCCTCGGCGATGGCCTCCCTGGACGTGAGAGGCGGCGCGGTCGCGACGATCGTCGTCGGCGTCGTCGTCGGCGTAGGTATCGCCGCCGCCGCCGTCGTCGTTGTCGCCGTCGTCGTCGTCGTCGTCGTCGTTATCGTCGCCGTTGTCATCGCCGTCGTCGTCGCGGCGAGCGTCGTCGTGGTCGCGGCCGCGTTCCCCGCGGACGCCGCCGGCGAGATGGGCGCGGACGGCGCGCGATGATGGACGCCGTCCGAACTGGCCTGGAGCAGTTGGGCCACCAGCGAGCGCACGAATTGAGCGGGCGACAGCGAGGCCTCGCTTCTAGCCTGGCAGAAGTGTCGGGCCAGCAGGCGGCGATTCAGGGAGCGCTGATGCCTCGCGGAGGCGCCGTTCGACGGCCACGCTAACTCGGCGCAGAGCGCCGTCTTGCCGCTTCCCGGGCCGCCGACGATCAGGGCGCCGCACGTCTTCGACTGCGGCCGCTGCTCCAGGCAATGCGACAGCTTCGTGAAGGCCCATTCTCGGCAGAAGAAGCGCTTCTTCTCGATCACCGGCGCCGCCATCTCGATGCTCCCGATGTCCCGCTCTACTCCTGGACCTGTTACGCCCGAGACGAGTCCCTTCCGTCGCGTCGCCTCTCTCGGGATCGCGCGTTCAAGCTTATCGGGGTTCTCTAGTGTAAATCGATTGGCGTAAGTAGATCTTTGGCATGGGTTTCACTATATCGGTTTCAATCCGTGTGCTCGCGCGTCTCAGGTCGCCTGGACGTATCTGATCGGATATCTGATTGGATAAGCTGTTCTCTCCTCTATCTCTCTCCCTCTGGCTCTCCGGAGCGCCGCGAGTAAATGCAGGTCTGGTGTAAATGGCGAGATGGCTGGCGGTTCAGATCGGCTTAAGTGCAGCGACAAGATTGACCCGGTTGCGTTGCTCTGTCAACGGAACATCGGCGGGTGCCCCAGGGGGCTCTGAGGCTTCCTCTGACTCCATTCAGGCTTCTCATCGCCTTGTAACCGCCGAACAATGCGCCTCGCGTCCTTGCATGCTATCCTGCAACACAAAAGTCGGAGTCTTTTTCCCCTCTTGTTCCTGGAGCATCACGTCAACGCTTATAAAAATGTAGAAACGGCGAGCGGTAAAATTAATTAATTTCCCGCCGCGGACTAACGGCCCGATAAAATCGGCGATAAAATCACCATCGAACGGAACGGAAGATCTAAATTTATAGAGCGATAAAGCACGCAAGGTCGAACTTATTCGGTACGCGGGGCTGCGCAGCTGCGGCGGAATATCGCGCGTTCGCAGCACGCGATAGACACGCGGTAATATAGCAGAGTCCGTAAAGTGCAAATTCGGAGGGCTTTCGTTCCCAATAAATACCGTCGCTCGCGTTTACGCGAGCAATTTGGACTTACCGCGCGCGAGCGGCGATATATCTCCCGAAAGACTCTCAAAAGATTTCGCGTCTTCCTCGTTCCCCGAGTCGCAATTAGCCGGTCCAACTAACCGTCTAATTGATTCGCTCAGTGTTAATCTTTGGGCCGGGCCGGGCCGGGCGCGCCTCTTCTGGATGGCCCTCCTTCCGAGACTTTAATCGTTCCTCAACGTTCCCAACTTGGCGCGATCTCGCCCGGAGGTAAAACGACATTAACTTAAGACGGTCTTCCGTTTAGCAAGATAGATTAGCGCGCTGTCCATTAATGCGATAATTAATAATCCTAACGCGACGGAAGGTTCGACGACCTCGCCCAGCCGCGTTCCGCCGGATGCGTTTATTATCGCGCTCAGGGATAAATAACCGCGAGCGGAGCCCTCGCGATCTTTACGAGTTTAACAATTTCCTCGTTTATCGGCTCTACTTGGATTTATATCTGCAGCTCAATTTTTATGACCAAGGTCCAGCTGCTCGTTTATGCAATTGCCGTCTCACCGCCGTGCATTGAGGACGAGCGGATTTCAAGTCGAAATGCTTGCCACGTCGTTTATTTCATTCATATCTGTATTATATTTAACATATACACATAACGTACCTAGACCGAGCAGTGAGCAGCGGGGGTGGAGGTTCACGTGGAAAGGACAAACTCTATTATGTGCTATTTCGTTCTCATGCGTGGTCAAATAAAGGCAAACGCTCGGTCCAGATATATTATGTCTACGATTTAACACGTACAGTGATGGGCAGAACGATCGCGACACTACTTCTTTTAAGTCTGAATCTACACCCACAGAAAAACTTTCCGGATCCAATGCTATTACACTTGAATGTATCACAAAATAGGATCGATATAGCGCCAATCATATTGATTATAGAGAAAGGGGTATTTTAATCTTAAATGAAAAATTCGAAAATCTAGAATAAAATGATAGTATGCATCGTCTTTTGTCTAATACCGTGGTGCCAACTTCGTACGTTGTAAGACGGAGGGAAAATTTACTCTAAACTTATATTTATATAAATTACTCTTGTCTCAATATAAGTAAGTCAATCTTTTTTAATTCGATACAGGAGAGTTTGATATTGTCTTATTTTTATACTAAACAAGGTTGTAAGAAATATAAATGCGTCAAGAATATTTTTTGTCTCGGTAACAGAAATCCTTTCTGAGGGTGTAGGAACTCGAGAAACGGATCGCTCAAAGTGATTTCGAAATGGCCACCGAGTAAAATATTCCTCGAAGAAGATCTTGGGACGAACCTTCGATCTAAGTCCACGTTCCTAAGCTCATTTACAATAAAGTGTCGCATTCTGTCCATCACTGTACTACCCCTAGCTTGGTTCACCAGTCCTGTTACTTTCCTTTTGTTTTCACCGATTTTCACCGATACTCTCTATCAGTGCATTATCACTGCGAGTGAATCAGTGAACATTCACCGTTTTCAGTGACAATCCACTGATTGACTTTTAGAGAGCGGATTAAAAAAAAAAGGGTTGACCGGAGATTTTTATTTCGGGTCGCGACGTCGAACAATTCTGATAAAACGTCGGCGGTTCGGTCGCCCTGCTCGCCGGCCCTTATTTCCGCTATCAGATGTGCGTTCTGCAAGAAAGCGCACCCTCTCGCTCTTTTTCTCTCGCTTCAATAAATTATAAATACGTTCCCGCGGCGTATCGTAAATCGATTCGATTACGCGCCCGGCACCGTTAGCGTATAATTGCGTTACGCGCGACGAAATTGCCACACGACCATTTCTGACTATTGCTATCACTGATCCCACCCCTCTCTCTCTCTCTCTCACGCGCGATATGGGAAAATGTGTTGCGCGAGAAAACGCGAAAACGGTTTTCGGCGAAAGCCACAAATCCGACTGTCACGTCGGCCGACACACGTACACGTACGTGAGCACGTGGACGTTAACGGAAGATCGCCCGGCACGTCGACCCCGCGAACGCAGGGGACGAGGAGGACCGCAAATCTAACTCGCGCCCGGAACTGGCGCGATAAACCTCGCGCTTATCCGCCGGCCGGGAGCCCCCGATATTTCCTTTTATTTTCTTAATTGGACAACTGCTTAGTTACGGTCTTCTCGTAGCCGAGGCTCGAATTAAAATTCTGCCAAAGGTGGAATCCGCTGGGGATTAATGGAGACGAACGGCTCTCCTGTCTTGCCCGTTTGAAACCTCGTTCCTTTCAGACCCAAGCTCCGCGAGCGTTCGCGAGTTTGAGAAGAGAGCCGCGGCGATGCGATGCCGATAGAACGTTAAAAAGAAAAAGAGAGAAAGAGAGAGAGAGATCACCGCTCGCTTTTACAATATCCAGGCTCGCTCGCCTGTCGACACGCCTTGATTTATTTCCCCGGTCGACGAGAGCAAAGTCTCGCGCGTCTTCGCGAGGCGCAAAGTTGACAACTGTGTCGCGCGGCCCATTCATTCGACGTTCGCCGCGGCGCGACTCCCGTAAGCAGCCGAGGTACTTGAAAACTCGCGCGGCAAGGTAAATGCACGCTCGCATATACATACGGAACTGACGTTTCGTAAACGACTCGGTAAATGCCACAAGGCTCGACCTATATTTCCGACAATGGCCGCCGACCCGTTTATTATTAGATGCGGAGGCACACAACGCCATAAAGATGACACCGTCAACGTTGCGCGCGGCGCGTCGCATTGTCGCCCCTCGATGCAGCCAGAACCGCGCGCGACAACCCCCTCGGTCGTCCCTCCCCCCCCCCCGTATCAGGCGATCATTATGGCCGAATGATACGCGAACCGTGGACGAGAAAACCAGACGAGGCGAGAACCTGTTTCACACGAGAGAACGAGAGAGGGCGAGGGCCCCACCACGCTCGGTCAATTAAACTCCTCGGAGGCGGAAGCGCGTATCGAAATTGAAACCATTCATTTTCCACTGGACCGTTTAATGGGGATAATTAGTAATATTTTAATCGCGTCATTGGCGGCGAGTTACGCGCCCGCGAACACTCGAGGGAAAAACGTTCGCGCGTCTATATCGCGTGGAACAATTCTCAAACGCGACGTGTTCTAGCACGATTGTTATATTATTTTTTTATATTTTATTTTTTATATAGTTATATAATATTATATAATATTTTTTAAAAAAGCAAATTTATTGCCGCGATAGAACACGATTGGAAAATTGTTTCGGACAGAAATCGATATACTAATAACCGCGGAGCGGAGCGCCGTGTGCGTCTACTCTCGTTTTCCCGCCATGGGAATGTCCATTACATATTTCGTCCTCGGTTCAGAAGAATTGAAACGGCGCGGGACGATTTGAATAATTTTATTCGACCCCGCGCGCGCGCGCGACGGGCAGAGCAAGGGGTTGGCAACGTCACCGGGGGTTGTAAGCGGCGGCAGAGGAGGGGAACGAAAAGGGGGACGGAGCGCCCGATGTTTCCTTTCTCACGTTATGCTTTCTCCCTGTCTGTCTTGCAGACCCCTAACCGATCGATTTCCGCTTCCCCCGGCCGTTTCTCCCCCTCCCCTCACCCGTGGGCGAACTCGGCGTACCGACCTCGGCGAACGCGAAATTTATCCTCGGCCGAGAGGCCGCGGGACTGGATTCAATCAACGAATATAGGCGCTGGTGGGTCCATTTGCATGCGAAAAGGAAATATGCCGTCATCGATAAACGATGGCGCGATTCATTTCGCGAAGAATACACACAAATACGGGAGAGCCCGGAGAAACGGTACCCTTCTTGGATCTGTCAAGTTAGCACACGGCATTCTTCGAATTTCAAAAAAATATTAACAATTCTAATAGCACTTTCGATAGTACTAGAGTTCCTGATAAAAATTAGAAAGGGTTCCGCAACTATTATATAATAATAAAAAATGTCGTGCTAACTTCACAGATCCCCGTGAAGTTAGTACCTACATTCTTCAAATTTAAAAAGATATTAACAATTCTAATAGCACTTTCGATAGTTCTAGAGTTCCTGATAAAAATTAGAAAGAGTTCCGCAACCATTATAATAAAAAATATGCTAACTTCACGGGGATCTGTGAAGTTAGCACATTCTTCGAATTAAACAAAATATTAACCGTTCTAATAGCACTTTCGATAGTTCTAGAGTTCCTGATAAAAATTAGTAAGAGTTCCGCAACCATTATAATAAAAGATGTGCTAACTTCACAGATCCCTCCTTCTCCCGCGTGACCGCGCGGGACAACGCGATGAACGACGAGATCGTATCGCGGGGCTCCTTTTTTTCCCTCGATCCTTAATTTACGTGGCAATTAAGATTCCTTTTTCTCGCGCGCGACGGCGAGAGAGATTGTCCGCAGATTTGTTCTTCATCCCGGAGAAGTTGCGTTCACGCCGTTACAAGAAATACAAAAGGCGAATTTATCCTCCTCGCGAGTCGCGCGCCCGGAACGGCCCGCGTGCATCTCCGATCGGTGTCCTCGATCATTATTTTCCCTTGCGGGGGAAAAGAATCTGCGAGTGTCTCGGCGCGAAAGTTACGACGGCTTACCGTCGGAAAATAGTGGCGCAATTTTGGTCGCCGGGCCAGACAGCGGGCGGCTGCGAGACGCGTTCCCCTCGTTTCTCATCGCGCGATGGCAGCAGAAACGGAGATAAA